CAGCAGGAAGCCTAGCACATACTCCAGTGGAGCAAGCTTTTTTTGAGGTAAGGTGCATGAATCTGATAAATGAATTTTAGATGAGGGGGTCAAGTATTCTCAATCATTAAGCTGTTCCATGAAAGGTGGAGGGTGATAACTCCTGCTGACACATTCTCAGATAATCACTCAGAACTCTGATACTGAGAGGTTGTAGGTACCTATGGTAGGACTCTCATCAGTTAATTCCACTCATTTAGAAGCTGGGTGTCCAGACTCAGCTTTTCTGAGCCCCTTCTGTAGTCAAGGAGAGAGGCATCTAGGCTAATTATCCCAGATTCCAGTACATTTCTAAAGTAGGTGGACCTAATGTGTATTAGATATCTACCTTAGAATGAGATAATTTGCTCTCTGTCTCTCTTGACGTAAAATGTTAAAGCTAAGTGTGCTAACTACTCTCTCTACCATGCAGCAGTGGTTCCTGTTTGTAAGCTATAGAGAAGAGTGCGGACATCAGATACGCCTGCGTGTCAAACGTTTAGTATGTGCTAGTACACCTCCTGACTCAGTGTCCTATATCTTAACCTTTAGAGGCACCAATTGTCCCCATTGACTCTTAAGATTCTAGGAACTTAACACTGTTTCCACTGTACCCTGATGAGGTCAGGTGGCAATTTTTTAAGTACTATAAGACCTAAGTTGAAAGCCCAACCGATTATAAAGTATGGTTTTGAAGAATCATGACATAACAATTTTGAAAACAATAGAGGCCCATAAAATCAAAACATGATAATGTAATAAATGTTTGAGAAATTAAATTGTTACTTTGACACATTTTCTCCACTCATTGCACATTTCCAGATTGCTCCTGTCACAGCTCCTAAAAGTTGTTTGTTTTCAGAGTTACCAAGCAGAACAGATAGCGGTTGTAGACCTCCATGTTGTCTAACCAGGTCCCGCGTTTCTTTATCTTCTGCACACTATACAAAAAAATGAAATATATATATTATGTAAAATGTGTAAAATGATGTCTTCAAAAGCTAGGTGTATTATGTTGTAACTAGAAAAAACTAATACAGAAGAAAACATAAATGTTTTATTAAAGTATCTGACTATGCTAACAACTCACTAAGAGAGTTTGACAGTAAACCTCTACTGTATATGCAGCAGTGATTATACTGTCACATTGTCCACCTTGTGGGCAAACAAACATAAAAAACCAAAGCAGCTCTTTGCACAGTATGCCCCGCCTCTCTCCATTGGTGACCTATGCAATTTAGGGCTTGCACACAAGAAGAGCAAGTAGGAACTAAATTACAACATTAAATATGCAGCTAAAATATTCTCATAAGAATTAAGCCAAAGACCATCAACATTCTTATAAAGTAATTTCTTATACATTAGAGAAATAGTAAAACTAAGAAATATTAAAACTGACAACCACATGAAGACAAAGGGCTAATCCTGTCTCTGAGCTACTGATTATAATAATCATAGAATCATAGAATAGTTTGGGTTGGAATACAATTACCTTAAATATGGCACTTGCACAATGCATCTGAAGCTCCTCATGTTCACTACTCAGATTTTTTACAAGGTTCTCAATCATTCCTTCTGTCCTTATTGCAAGTCTGTAACTTGGCTAAAAAGATAAACTGCATCTTTTAAATCCTGTATATTAAGAGTTAATAACACTAGACACAATAGAAAAACATGTTCTTAGAATTAAAATTTTTTAGTGATCTTTTCTTCCAAATTTTAACCCACAGGCATAGTAACAGGGGACCATTATTTAAGAGAGGGGACACATCTGTGTAAGAGATGCATTTAGTGTTATTTCCAAATTTGGCCAGATAAGAAACCCTCAAAAACTTCACATTCTCAATATAGAATTACTGAAGCTAAAATCTGCCAGGTTGCTGTCTTGTGGAGCATGCATAAACCTGTGTAGTTCAAGAAGCTAATTTTGAAAATACAAAGTGTTTTATAATGTAAAATCTTTTGAAAAATGTCTTCCATGTCTCAAATTCACCAAGAGAACTTATGTATATTTTTGACCTAATGCACCTTAATTTCAAATATGATTCCACAAATGGAGAAATAACCACTCATCTTATATGGCGATGGTAAAAAATACTTGTTTTCAAATTTAAAAACTGAATATACTCAAAGTTGTGAAACTGCCAACGAAACCTGTAGAAAAATCACATATATTCCTTTCTTCTTTTTGCAGTCAGACACCATCTTACCCAATTCATAAGGACATCATTGTAAACCACGCTGCCCTGCACTACATTGGATCTTCTTGGCGACATGTGCAGGTTAGCTTTGTAGAATTTAGATATACTGATTAACCAGAATATATCATCTTAAGTTCCCAAATTTGTCAAGTATGATGAACAAAACGAGAAAAAAATGAAACTGATTAAGGATTTCATTTCTACATATTTTCTTTCACAAACCACTCCCAGCCTTTTAAATAAAAAATGTGGTCTTTACTTCATCACAAGCTGTGACTTTCTCAAAACCAGTTTGTCCACACAAAGCATCTACTTGCTGATGGGATAACTGCCCTGGTTGAAGTGACAGTCAAACGTAATGCTTCCTTTTAGTAGCTAATTGTTTTAATGATTAGAAATAACTTAGCTATATGTGTTTACTTACCTCTGAGGCACATTCTTGTAGTGTCCCCACTACTGGGGTTAAGATGTTTGCATGTGAACATTTGAGCCATCTAGCTAATAATGGAATGCCACCAGCTTTACGGATTGCTTCTTTATTTTTGATGCTTTTGCTGCAGCTCCAGAGTGCCAAAGCCCCACAGCGTGCTATTTCAGTATCTTTTGCTTGATATGGTGTTAGACTGGTTGATCCCGTTGAAATACATTCCAACAGCCCAACCTAAAAAATCCATTTTTTTAATTACCTACAGGTAAGTTTGATATTATACCGCTTTTTAATGATGGCAAACACTACCACAAGAATCATGTATACAACATCTGACGTATTTTTTTGACAAAAATATGCATATGACAAGGGTACAAATTTTAATGTCTGCTTACCAATCTCTTGATTCCTCCATGCTGCCTTACTGTCCTTCGCGCTCGTTTAAATCGAGCAACATTAGCAATTGTTTCAGCTGCCAAACATTTTAGATCTTTATCTGGAGAGTCCAGTATTTTCACCATGATCTGTAAGCCCCCAAGATCTGCAATTGCATGTCTGATCAGTGTATTTTGACTAATTTCCTTCAGGATTTTTAATGAACCAATCTAAATAATGGAAGATAACAGAAGTTAAACATTATTTAAGTATACATAAACAGAAAAATTCTTGAAAATGCTGGGTTATCTAGAACATTTTCTCTTTTAAATTGAATCAGAAGGAGGAAACAAAGTCAAAGAAAGTGATTTTTTTCTAAAAAATCCTTGAAATTGAGAAAATACAGAAATGAGAAAAGAAAGAACTCAATTTTATTTATACTATATAACTTTGAAAATTGAAAAACTATTCTAATAGAAAAGGCATATTAATTGCTATATTCAACAAAGCTACTTACCTGACATTTAATTTCTTCTGTATCTAGTAAATTAATTAACACTTCAAGACATCCAATGTCTCTGATGGCCAGCTGACAAGTTTCTTGAGCCAGATTGAAATCTCTCATTGAACACAATGCAATTACAGTAGCTGTTGGATTACCTCCCTAAAATAAAGCAAATAATTAGCAAATGTGTAATGTGCATTTAATATAAAACTTAATTTCTTCTACTAGTACTAGTAAAACTACTACTAAAGAAGAAATATGCTAGATTATTTTGATTCTATGTGTTAAATAACGCAGACAGTAAGAAATGGAATTATTGATAAAGTCTGCAAATGGCATATAGATTGAAGTGAGAGTGAATAGCACAGGTGACAAATTACTAATATGGCTTGTTGTGAATGGACTAGTAAATGAGGCAGTCGAGTATTGTGAGTTTTGTAGGAGTGTTTGCAGATAGCAAAAGAACACACAGTGAAGACACAGACATTTCAGAGAAGCTATATGCATTCTTTGCATTGGTGTTCACTCTGGAAGAAACCAAAGAGATTCCAACTGGAATCTTCCATTGTGGAGGACATCTCAGAGGATTTTTCTGAAACTGAAGTCACTGTAGAAAGTTTTTATAAAAAAACCCTGAGATTGTGAACAATAACAAACTGCCATTATTAGACAGTATTCAACTGAGTTATAAAGGAAACAGGGTAAAATAGTTGATTCAGTAGAAGTGGCATGTATCTTCTTGCTTCAAACTGCCCTGTTACCAATGTCCTGGGAAACAACAAATGTGATAGCAACTTTGAAATGAGTTCAAGGGTTATCCAGAGCCTTTTAGCCAAATATCTGTGCTGGACAAATTGGGAGACTGTAATAAAGAACAGAATTAGCAGACATCCATCTAAATATGGTATTATTGCAACAATATGATATATTTAGAGTCACCATGGATCTGTTAAGAGAAGTCCTACCTTACAAAACTTACCAAGCTCATGGCAATGGTGATCTAGTTGATATGTCTAACTGGACTCCATAAGGATTTTGACAAAGTCCCTCCTTGATACCTTTTAAAGAAACTAAGCCACTATATTATAAGAGGAAAGGTCATTGCATGGATTGAAAAGAGTGACTAAAGGATAGGAAACTGGGAATAAGAGCAAACAGTTAGTTCAATAAAGGGGTGTGATTTAGTGGAGTTCCACGGATCTGTGTTGAAGTTGTGCAATTCAACATACTCATAAACACCCTGAAAAATGGAAGGACTAGTTATGTGACAAAGTTTGTTGATGATATTATGATTCAGGGTCAGTTCTGACAAACTGCTAAAGAACTTACTAAAACTAAGAGGGCAGTAAAATAGCAAATGAGAAAATGCGAAGTGATGCATAGCAGAAAAAATGATCCTAACTCCATAGATGAAATGATAGGTTTTCAGCTGACCATTAAAAATCAGAAATGATACCTTGGGGTCAGGGTAGATGGCAATCGGTTAGGGTAGATGGCAATCAAAAAGAAAATGGAATATTAGGACTTATTTGGAAAAAAAAAGTGAACAGAGAATGTCACTATACCACTGTATAAATCTGTGGTTCACATTCACCTTAAAAACTTCATGCAGTTCTTCAGCCTCAGTTTCAAGAAGGTTACTATAGCACTGGAAAAGGTTCAGAGAAGAGCAGCAAAGATAATCCAAGGGGTTTTCAGTCTAGAAGAGGGATGCCTGAAGGGATATGATAGAGGTCTACAATGTTAGGGATGGCATTGAGTAGGATGATAGGGGTTGACTGTCCAATGTCTCTTTTAATACAGATATAATCTCTTTTAAAAATGAGGTATAATAGGATTCAGGTTAAAAAGAAATAAAGGGAATTGGTTCTTCAAATGAGGCAACAGACTAGTGGAACTAGTTGTGAAAGGATTCCGTGAAAGCTAAAAGATTTCATTGAAGGTCAGTAAAAACATAAAAATCTCATTCAATTTTCAACTCCCTGAGCTAAAAACTGGTGGGGGCTTGGAGAGTATTAGAAAGCTGTGTGTTTGCCCTGTTCTTACTTTGCGCTGGGCATTCATTTATGGTCCTCGGTTTCTTCTGCCTTGGTAGAATATGAACAGAGTTTCACACTACTATAAGTTATGCAGTCAAGTTTCCTACATTTGTGGAAATCAGAGGTCAGGACATCTGGGGTACAAAAGATGAGCTTTAACCACAGAAAACTTCCGTCCTGATTATCGTGTCTCCCCTCCTGTTGCAGTCAGGTTATTGGGATACACTGTCTTTTGATCTGCCCAATTTAATGTCATACACTTACAAATAATGAAAAAAGGGTATAGCTCAATGGAGGACTTCTATTCTGGAAACCAGAGCATATAAAAAGATTTGGGATGTTGAATATCAATTTGAGATGACAGTATAACATTTGATTAAAAGGATGAATTTTGGGATGTGTAAGTGAAAGGACTGAATAGGAACATAGGTATTATCTCTTTTCAGGCACTTGTGCAACTATTACTGAAATTCTGTATCTAATTTTCCTTTTTACAGTTCTAGAAGGAAAGTGAAAATATGGAGATGATTCAGAGAAGAGAAATAAAAATGATTGCAAGCCTGGAAAATAGCTGCATTAAGACAGACATGAGAAGCACTATTCAGTTTATTAAAAAGTAAATTAAGGTATGATTTATTCATAGTGAATAAATAAATCTATGAGGAAGAGGAACGTGATCACAGAGAGCTCTACAGTCTAGCACAGAGGTTTGATGATTTGCAGTTAAAGGTACTGAAATTTAGATGAGGAGTAAAGTGCAAGTTTTCCATTGTGTGGTTAATTATCCTTTGGAAGAAATTACTTAGAGTGATGATAAGTTTTCCAGCAGTGGAAATGTTTCAGTCAAGATTGGATGTTTTTCTAAAAGATAAGCTCTATTTCAGTCACAGCTACTAGACTAAAAGCAAGAAAAAGATCAAAGAATACACCCTGTGGTATGCAGAAAGTTAAACCATAAGGTAACAATGGATTCTTTTGAACCTGTAATATAGATTTACTATTAATCAAGTTGGGTGTGAACCCAGCTGCACAGAAATTAGGAGGGCTGATCTACCATGTAGCTGCAATAGAAGCTGGAGTGCATGAGCAATGCCAACTGGTGCTAATGTGGAAGTTACAACTTAGAGCACCTAGTAAATCAAACTACAGTATCCACTTCCCACATGCCTCTGAATTCCAGGGAAGCTTTGGCTCCCATCCAGATCTGAACTGCTGCCCAGGTCCACCTCTTTCAAACGACACTTTTGAAACTGTAGAAGACTTCAAGCCAACCCTTTCCAGAGGAAAATATCGTGCTCAACTGTGCACATCATACTGAAATACAGAATATTGAAAAACTGAGTAATGTTTGCTAATATGAAACAAGTAGATCTAACAAAAATGTAGCATTTTGCAGCCTATGTCTTAAATGTAAACAGAAGCAGTAAGACAAATACAGAAAAAAGTCTTTAAATTTAACATGCTCTTTAACAGATACCATAAATGTAGTAGAGAATCACAAGTGAGATAATATATCCAAAAGGAATGTGAGAAAAGTACTTGATAAAGTTTCAGATCAGTAACTTACATCAGACAAAACACTTCTGCTAATCAATGAAGTGTATGCGGATGGAACTTCATAGCTAAGTTTTACTTAAATTTCTTGTAACAATAGATATCCACAGAATTTCCCCACAGAAAATTGTTTAAATATAAAGGCAATCTTTTAACATCTGCAACATATAGTGTCCTAATGGAAGATTCCTACAATTTTTTCATGTTACCTTTTTTTAATCATCGTTATCATCTTGACTTCAAAGGAAAATGAAACGTGTCTAGCTTTAAGAACATATTTTGACCCATTTTGTAAAATATGTCCTTAGGAATAAAATACTGTAGCAATTTCTCAAATCTTTTCCTAGAGAAATCAGTTTACCCACACATATCGAAGTCTAAATGATTTTTTTAAAAATCCATAAGATATAATTCCAAAACTACACAGAATATTCTGTAGCTCAAAAGGACCACCAGCTGTCCTTTTATGAAGTTTGTGGTCTTTTCATATAGCTTAGACTTTGAGATTTACTTTGCTTTGCATTATAAAAATTTTGCAACAGGTGTTTAAAGAGAAAACTTGTCTTTTTATTATTTTACATAATATAAGAAGTATATTGCTAACGTGACAAGTGAGGTCTCTTCTTCTGAGGAGTGCTTCACCTACAGTGAAATTACATCTATACATAATGTAGTAATTAATAATTCACTTATCTTACAGTTACAATGGTTGGCATATGACATTTAATATGGACCAGGTTTTTAAAAAATAAACAACTTTTAATTCTCTTATATTAAATAAAAAATAGAACTGTATATAAAATACATATATGCATTTTATTCTTTTGGCTTCAAAAATGCACACACCACTTGAACTGTTTTTAAAGTAAAACCACAATAAAATATTTTTCATATGTGCTGAAGCATCAGTTCTACAAAATAAGAAATATTACTGATGGTTTCAACAATTTTTTTTTGTTTCTTGAAGTGATCATTACAATAAGTCTTGCAGTACTTACAGCATAGATTTTAACATGCATGGAAATAGTTACCTCTCCATTAAGTTGACATAAAATCTGCATCATGTTGTTATACCATTTGAAATCTGATATGTTGGATGCAAAATAAACTCTACTGGCAGATCAACAATCAATTTTAAAGCTTGAAATTAAACACAGATTTAGTTTAAAATGTGCCTCTCTTCCTATATGGTGGTATAACATATATATCCACAAATTAAATGAAAATAAAACAGTATCACTGCTACACTATCAGTAAAACATCTTCTGTGCAATGTATGTGTAATGTCTCTATTATGATACTCAGAGCTCACAAATGAAAATTAGAGAACTATAAAGAATGTGTAGCAAAGCCTGTCTTTCTTTTGCTTTTATTTTTGAGGTGTTTAACAGACCACTTTTATAATACAATAATGCACAGATTAATCTAGTTAAAACTTTTAATGTATGTATACAAAGGCAGCTGTTTTAGCTTATGATAAGACTGTATATACATTTGGTATGTGTGAGTCCACTCTCACCTTCTGTGATGGAAGGAAGAAAAGAAAAAGGTCTCTACGAGACCTAC